CCAGCCAGGCAGTCGTGAAGGACCAACAGAAGCCAACCCTTTGCAGCTTTCTTTCATACCACGACACCATGTCATACACTGACCACATCTCGGCTATTCCCGACGAGACCCAGAGTCAGCAAATAATGCACGACGAGGAATTTTCAGAAGAACAAGTACATATTAATTTGCAGGTACACAGCAAATTTAATATCATTAGCGGTTATAGATTATCTGTAAGTAGATTTGTCGGTGTATATCAACATGAGTAGTATGTAACGATAGTTAGGATTAAAATATCTGACAGTAGAAGGTTGGGAAGGAAAGAACGGGAACAGAAAGCGATTGGTATGAAAATGAAGTCTAAGACGACTGACTGATATTTGCAAAAGAAACAGTCACTACTCAGATAATTGATTAATATTTTGCAAATGAAGTATTCATCGTATGGTTCTCAGATTTTACAAAAATGTGCTGTAATCTTATGTTCAAATATATTCGACTGTTCCCACTTGTGTTCTTGTTCACTGCATAAATGTCAGTAAATCCTTTCTGCAATATTGAAGGGATTGATGCTGATTATCAGAAATTAGTCAGTATTGACGAGTTGATAATTTAACGTCCAACACTAAACAGTGTTAGATTAATGTGAGAATTTTAATTGATCAGTATTCACTCGGTATTGAAAATCGTATCTGTTGAACATTTCAATCATCATAAGTTGGAGTTTAAATATGAATCTTATTCTTGTTAACAGCTAATACATTTTAAATAACTCTGAAATTTTAAGAATATTATGCAAGTGGAACAACTACATATATATACATCTATGAGCCATCAGCAAATACTTTGAATATAACTATCCCAGTTTTCTCCTTAAGCTTTAGTCAACGGTTAATTGATCAATTGAAATTGAATTTAACAGGTCACTGCTATCCTATTGATATGATGGAAAGAAAAGTCAGTATTAGATTGATTTACTCATTATGAGTTTTGTCCAACATTAATTCCGTTTTAATTCAATGCGGTGGTTATTCAGTGTAGTATTCGGTTTTGTTATCCCGTATCATCTTTTTATTCTGCATAGTATACGATATTCTTGTATTTAATTGACATGAACTATGCTCAGTAAGTGATTTGATCCTAATTATTAATAAAAATGGGTGTACAATCAGTACATAAATGAGTGTATTTTCGACTAGGGTCGTCGTCGTGTTTTGGGGTTAATAAATCTTCACTTATACCGGTTTTTGTGTTCTTACTTTTGCATCATGGGAATTGAGGAGGTCCCTCGTTTCGAGTATAAATGATAAGCGTTTCCGACATAACAATCAACGACGACCATATACAAAAGGTAGTATTAAAAGAGCCAAGACAAGCAGAATGCAACTGAAAAGTTATAACACCCACCATGTGTTTTAGACTATCATTCCCTATGCTATGATAAAAGTCCTTAGTGTGCGCTACTAAAAAATTTCAAACTGGAACGAAACACTGCATTTCTAATAAGATACCATTTTGATGAAACATATAAATCAACATTAAAATTTAATAGTCGAATTCATGAGTCAATTGAAACTATGCCATCACGGTAAACCTGGAAGCACTTGACGGCCGTTTCGTTATAGTATGGGACTCCTCGGTAGTGTGTATCCAAAACTTTTAAGTTTAAAGTTGATTTTTATAACGAACTCGAATCAACTGTAAAGCTATTGAGAACCGCGAAATACCCGACAACCATTTCATCTTAGCATAGAATAACTACACAAGAGTGCATAACAAATTTATAAGACTATCCAACCCTCTTTGATTTTCAATAAGTTAATTATTCAATATCAATATCTGTAATCACAGTTAATTTCTAATAAATGAATTGTTACTACGCCCCCAAATGCCCTGGTACGGTCGAGAGTGGGAAGAGTCCGCTCTCCCTCTCGAAATGCACTCACATGGCCACGCGAATATAGCCTCTGCCAGGGAAGTCCTACTCACTGCCTTCTCGTGGCTTCACTGTTGTTTACAAAAATGAGAGGACGAAAAGCGAATGTCCGGCACCGGCTTTGACCGGATCCCAAACCAATGGTGCACATGGGCTCCAGTATTCTGCCTGAGGGAACAAATGGCGTATGAACCAATCGTTGGTCACCGGCTACCATAGGACTGCATCTCCTTACGATGCTCCACTGCCTTGTGGATCAGACGTTCAGGTCAAAGGCTCGGGGTGTGGCCCCCTAAGGAAACCACCTTCTTCGGTTTGGACACCCGGGCAGTATCACAGCCCTCACACAAATCAATTGAGATTCGTGTGGCGCATATGTATTTGGTGCCTCCTTGTACCAATACCTATGTGTTAAAATAAATAATAAAATTGTTATTATATTCAATGTCCAAAAACGTTCAACAACACAATAAATCTTCATTTTTCTCGAAATATCTTAAACTATAACAACAATGAATAATGAAAGGAAAAAAGGTGAACAGATTTGTAGAAGAATTGCCATGGTAACACTAGAAAGTAAACAATAGAATATTACTTAAACAAAGTCACTATTGAAAAACATGAAATAAGTAACAATTTAACATATGATGGAATAAAAACTTTCAAATAAAATAGAGGTTATTTTAAACACGCATGAAATGGTTGTATGGTGTCATTAAACAAAATGATGCATATGAATATATTTAAAGGTTGATGGTATTGTGTTAAGAACAATCTAATTTGTGAATATTGAATTATACAATCATAAAACAATAGAGAATTAAAATGCTAATTCTCATATGATAAGTTAAACAATGAAGGATACACACAGAATATACGATCTAGATAATTACATTGAAACACAGAAATGATTATCTAAAGGCTATTCTACAATTGACGATTACCGTGTAAACAATAAAGATAATACGAAAAGCATGGTTTAGATCAGTTTGTGCTGAAGATTAACTTATAGTAACCGAGGAGTTAAAGTAATCAGCTTCCAATTTTGTTTCGGTCTAATTAGCGTAATCAGTCTTAGCAATTGGAAAAATAACAAACTTCTCAGTAAAATCAATTTCTTGATGCATAATAGAGACGAATTCAGTGAAATTTATTAACAATATGTTATAATCAGTTATTCAATGAATGTGAATTTTCTATGAACAATGGTAAAACTAAAAGAACAAGTTTCTCGTTATAAAAATGGAAATAAACATTTTGTACTATGAGGTATGTTCTTACTAAGTTTTTTTTAAAAGTGTTTGGTTCGAGACTGTTATTTCCAAGTTCAACCCTCTACCATCTGGTTCAATTTAAATGGTTGGAGTGTCACTGCCTCTTGCATTACAGGTAACAGCTTGGTTAATTATACATTTGAACGCATTTAATGAAACTCAATAAACAATTTAACTTGATTAACCTATTATTCATAGACAAATCTGTTTATGTACAAAACTATGCATGTCACTTACTTATGCCTGTTACTCCTCGTGGAGGAGCATAGGCCGCCCTCCAGCACTCTCCATCCAATTCTGTCTTGAGCGATTCTTTCCAGATGTTATTCATCCTTTTCATATCTGGTTTTATTTCCGGATCTAATGTGTTCTTTGGCCTTCTTCTTTTTCGCTTTCTTTCAGGATTCCAAGTTAGGGCTTGCCTTGTGATACAATTTGATGATTTCCTCAATATATGTCCTATCCATTTCCATCGTCTTTTCCTAATTTCCTCTTCAGCTGGAATCTAGTTTGTTCTCTCCCACAGTAAGCGGTTGCTGATGGTATCTTACGTAGACAACTATTTATATACTTGTACCTTCTCCACGTTTCAGCTCCGTATAATAGAACTGTCTAGCTATTTTGATATTTTTCGACTAAAATATATAACATTGTCTAGGTCTTGGCTATATTCAACTGTGTTAAACAACTGTCTCACTTAATTATAAACAAATTTTCCGAAATTCCTAAACGGCTACTTAATATCTGCGTCGATACTACAGGACGGGAAGAACAATGAAATTATGCACACTTGAACCAACAGCACGATCTCAAAATTAATATGCTTATGAGATTAGTGTTTTATAACTGTATTACTCACGAGTAACTAGCCTCATATTGTGCAATTTTTTTTAATTTCACTGGTTCATCATAAACTAACAGTTGATAAGCATTCTGATCGTCCGGCTAAATTGAAAGTCATTATCCCGTTCTTCTTCCCCAAGAGTTGAATTGTATTACTGAGTTTATTAATTCACATATGAGTTTTTAACCTGAACTAAATATTAATTAATGTAGAACCATTATTGATTCAAATAAATTCATATATAAATATTCCAATAATTTAAAATGATCTTTGACTTTAGTCGACTTGAGTTAAGTTATTTCGGTGAATCTAACAACGCATATACTAAGTCAGATGATAATTTTGACATTCTTAGAGAAAATCGATAAACGAGGAATAAAACCATATCATTGCATTAAACGGTATTAAAAGACAATGTATGTTCTGTTTGATATGTCAAGGGAAATCATTAGAAAACTTAACAAGCACCTTTAAATAGTCTACCCATAATAACTACATTACGATATTAGAAATGGTTAGCCCAATGAGTGAAGTAGCGATATTTGACTCTAAACCAGTGTAAATAACAGGTTAAGGTTATGCTTCAATAATCTCATTTTAGACGGTCGTTTACCATAATTAACCTCGAACAGTATGACAAAAGTATGGGAATTATAATCTATAGGATCATTCAGAGAAATCCATAAAAGCCATCACAAGTGAAATAATTTTAAATATTCTAGGAAAGCTTTATACTGTAATCTAAAATCTAAGTGGTTCAGCTTCATTCTTAATTGGCTGTACTGTTCTGTTTAGTCGAACAAATGTGTTTATGATAAAGTATTCTCATACAAGTACTTCGATATATCAAAATACATATTTCAACTACAGGACGCGGTGGTCTAGAGGAGGATTAGTTCTGGAGGGGGCGGGGCGAAAAGATAAGACATTTATTCAGGTGTTAACATATCTTATCTTTTACTACCTCCAGAACTAATCATCTCCAATGCCACAGAAAGAATGTTCTAAAACGGCAATCAAATAAACTGAGTGAAATTTCGTTTTTCTTATTGAGTGCTCAACAAATGGAACGGCCTAACCGAACAAATGATATCAAGTCTGTCAGTAAACACTCAAGAAATTGGATTTCCAATGGAAAATAAGCTACAATGGTTAACATAGGCCACTGAAGACTGAAAATATAAGTCTGAAGTCAATAATACATATTATAATAAGCAAAATGATTCCCACTTACAACTTACTGGTAAAAAGCCATTTGCAATGATTACATAAGTGAACACTTGTTTAATTACTAAACAATACGTATTAGCATCTTAGTTAAAAACACTGTCTGGTCCACTTGACATATCACCTGATAACAGGCTTTAAAAATCGAAATTCCTCAAACCACTAAACTCTAACAGATTTCACCGTAACATTTATTGAGGAATACTTTCGACCCTCTAGTAATTGGCTAAAAATTGGTTCCGAAATCACACGATTATTTTAAGAATCATTCAAGTTTCTTTTCATATAACTATACTTTTGCCAGTTTTCGTTGTTTTCTTTCATTAAAAACATGTTGCCCACTTAACTTATCGCAGCTGTTAAATGAACAAGTGGTGTCATTTATAGTTACTACAAAATAACAAAATATTAAGTTATCATCGTCAACGGTATAGAACCTGGTACATGTGTGAGTTGATCTATGTTGCCATACCAAATTAGCGTAACGCGATGAAAGTAACAAAAAAATATTAAAATAATGTAATAGTAATAATATAAAGAAAGAGTAAACCTCAAGAGATAAAGACGACACTGAAGCATATCACCTGAAGTCACTAACCACTAATTGTAGTTATTGCGCTGATACCAACCGGAGAGTTAAAAATGTACCAGCATGAATTAAACCAACAATCAAAGACTTCATAGACTAATAGCATGTTTTGGTTTAGCCACCTCTAGCCTCTTCCCGAAACATAAAAGAAATAATAGTAGAAGACAAAACAACAAATTTACAAAACTGAAACATAAATGAATCTTTGTGAGAGAAAAACAAGTCGTTTTATTTCTTTTTCTTTTTGTCGTGTTTATGTTTTTTCTGATGTCCTGTACCATTATTATTACTAACGTCACTGGCATTCGATAAGAATTTATGTTCAGTTAATAAAAGGCGAGCAACATTGTTGATATGTTTGAATCGATCAGGTCCAAGTTGGATACCACCATACCATCGACTTACCTAGAAAACAGAACACACAAACACAAACAAACTACAAATGGCAAAAACAAACACTATTTCGAATGTGAAAAATATGAAAACATTTAGGAGATTAAAGAAATAAGGTTTAGTCAGATATTTCAAATGAATTTCGATGTGTAGATGAAACACACCGATGTATTAATTAAGAAGTGAATTATTGTAAAGAATATGTCATACAGAGAAAAATAAATCAAAAACCACTTGAATGGAATTCAGGAAAACTTGTAACTTGTTTTTTTTCAAATACCCGGGGTAACTGAAGAAAGCTCATTCCTCCTCACCGCCAATCATTCGATAAAAACTTTGTGGATGAATTAAAAGCTGCTAACTAACCAAATATCACCTGCTATGAATACAGCAAAACTCTCAATTTTATAGTCCTAAAACCTTAATTATTACACTCGTGCAACAAGAATTACTTGTGAGCCTACAATACAGATTCTTCTCAATGAGTTCCACCTGTTTCCTATTTCTTTATTTGTTTTCTGATATTTTATGTTGCCCTGTCTCTCAAGATAAAAATCAGATTGTATGTAACCGGGAGGTTCAAACTGATATTACTTTTTGGGGAGATAAAGAATTTGTGGGTGGCCTACGCTCCTACACGAGGGGTAACAGGCGTAAGTATAGTAAATCTTTGTAAAAGGCTGATGTTACTCTTCTCATTGTCTAAATAGGTCAACAGCAACTGAAGTGTAATTGTAAGGAAACTGTTTGATTTCCATTTCATAAGTGTAAGAAAAGTCATTTTATTATAACTTACTCTAGGAGGAAACGGCTTTCTAGTGCTTCCAAGTTTCAAAATGTTTGTCATGATTGTCGTGATTTAAATAAAATATTAAAGGTGCGTTGCTCTCCGTTTAAGGGGAAAATGTTACCTCATGACTGGTCTGTATTATAGTTCAGATTGATCATAAAGAATAAGGTAGATAAGTGGATAAACCATTTAAAGTATCGAAGTCTCATTTGCCCTATTGGGTTGGTTTGATGAAATATTGGTAGACATAAAGAAAGCTCGCCTGACGTTTACTAACTAACATCTCTTTTTGGTCTTCGTGTGCCGTTTCACTGCACGGTAGTTTGCTGTTATATTTTATAGCTGTGAAATATCGCAACATTCGTCGGCTACTACTATTTGATCACAGACGTCGTTGAAGCATTGGGAACATCTATTCACTGACTATCGGTCGAAGCCATATCGGTAGATACATACTACCTGGTTGAGGTCTACGTGATTACTGTGATCAATGGTTGGATATGTGAAATGACATGAGTTACGATAGATCACAGTAGCCTAGATGCACTAGCTCTTTATCATTTTCTGGATTATGAGTCCAAGCACTTCCTTACCCATACCTTTTTATTCAATTCACTCGAACAATATTTTCAACGTTTAATCTTTTTCATCGTAATTTCAACTACGATTATTTCGAATCTCATGCTATTCATCTCATCATGCTGATCTAATATGACTAACCAGTATTTGTGCCAAGGTTTACAGTAACTTTGACTAAAACAAGTAGAAATAAATGCAGTCTATCGAGAATCTAGCCAGCTAGAAAGAAGCGAATACAACATGGGTAGATCCAAACAGTTCACAATAATAAGAGTGGAAGCAAAAGGGCGAGTCAAAAAAGGTGACCATCGAAAAGGGGAAAATTAATAAATGCGGGCATTGAAATGGAAAATAACATTTTTAACGTTTGCTTAGCCCTCTGTCCTGTATTAATATGCTTCTTTTAAATGGTCCCCCATATTAATGTTCACCCCTTTACACTCGCCCTTTCGATAATCAATCTTTTGTTTGCACCCTTCACAATGGATACTACTCCAAACACGACACATGTAAAGTCGATCATCAAAAAACTTTGGTTAACAGTAGCTATCCACAATTAACGTATCTGTGTTTTCTCGGAAGATTGATACAAAGGGATAAAGAATGTAACGCTTTGAATAAAACGTGGTAGGATACATCAATAACTTTTAACCCAAAGGACCGAACCTTAAGAATAATTAGACATTAGACCAGTTACACTGATTAGTAATTTTTGCTGCCTTCGATTATTTGGTATTCAGCAATGTAACCAAGAAGACTAAATCTACAAAGCCATTTTTTAAAAACATTTAAATTTGCCCAAGTAGTGGAAACTGATCAATAATAATGTCTACAGTTACCACTAAATAGGTTAATATTATCTGTTGAGAACTGAACTACACTATTGCTCAGATGAAAACCAATGAAGAACAATTTCCCCTGTAGAGCATACCATGGTCAAATAAAATGTGACAAACTATTTGTTAATATTACAACTTGGTACCTTGAATAATCGCCAACATTAAGTACAATTTTTCAGTGATAACACTCACCATAACCGCTACATTTTCAATTCCTGATAATGTAAGTAAATGTAATAGTCGACCACCTGCATGTGTTTCTCCATCATCGTCACAGTCAGCTTCTTTGGAGGAGATACGCCAAGCTAGGATATTATGAGTAGCTGTAGCAACTTTTCTATCCGTAAGCAGTGTTGATATAAAAAGGGATACTTCACCACGGGTCGAAACACGTGCACAATGAGCCTGTACAGTCAACAACATATTCAATATTAGTATTTTATTAATGCCGCTCATATTGAACAGTATTATTTCATCTCACAAAACGTCCCACAGCTTAAACGGGATTTTAGCCGACTCATGGTTCAAATGCTAAGTTATTAAAGCAAAATGTAATCAATAGTCGATAGCATCAATCCGCAATTTGGTGATAAGTTGCATTAAAAACCACAATTTTCAAAAACTAAAGTTACTTATATTGTTCAACTTAGGATGTCAACCTACTTACGTATAACTGTCCTAGAGGAAACCAAGTCTTTAGCAAAAATATATTCCTGTATATGTACTATCCTGAAAGATTATTAAGCAACTATAACAAACAAGCTAATGAAAAGATCACAGGGAAATCTCAATATACATAATGCTACATAAAACATCTGATAACCAAAATCTTGTATGTTACGTTGTTTCGACTCTGATAATCATTCGTATACGAATATAACCACTGCTGGGGAAGTCCCACTCACTTCCTTCTAGTGGCGGCAGTGTTGCTTACAAAATTCAGGACGAAAAGCGAATATCCGACGTTTCAACCGGGTTGGTAGGTATGGAGGGTCCACGTAGAGGATTTACCAAACCCTGATTCCGAATCAATGGGTCACATGGGCCACAGGATCCTGAAGGGACAAATGGCGTATGAACCAATAGTTGGTAAGCGGCTATCATGAGACTGTATCTCCTGACGTTGTTCCAATGCCTTGCGAATTAGATTTTTAGGTTAAAGGCTCAGAATGTGGCCCCCTAAGAAAACCACCTGTTTCCGTTTGAGCATCCGGGCAATATCCCAGCCCTCAAAAAAATCGAATGATTTATGTGGCGTATATTTATTTGGTGCCTCCTTGTACCAATGTTTATGAGGTTAAATAAATAAATATCATGCGTATAATTGGCTCTTTTTCCAAACTGAACATACTAAAGAACTTATGTTAAGTTTATGGAAGCAAAGACATATGTTGTTACATGTAACTATCAACTGAAAAAAAAAGAAAACGACGATGACGATAATGGAACTACCTACGAAAATAATTAGGAATTCTTGTAATTACTAGATAAAGCAAGCCAACCTCCCGTCAACTAATATTACCAAATGAAAAGTTAACAGAAAGTAAATATACTTTAGAATGTTTTGGAACCAGAATGAATAGAAGTATAATTGTTTTATGGTAATCTCTTGAGAGGTTGTGGAAATAAAAACAATAAATAAAATTTTTTACAGTCCACCTAGACGAAAACAATCCATTATCACCAAGTTATTTCCTTAACTGTCTTAAAAGTACTCTCATCTTACACCTTGTATCCTTAACACTTTAAAAGTAATTGGCACAAAATAGAAGTGAAGAACAATCGTGTGCCAGTCATGATATATAATTAACATAGATCCTGTCACGAATGTCCGTTAGCGTAACGTCAACGAATGTGTCAGAACAGTAGTAATGGTAATAGCATCAGTGATAGAAGAGAAGAGAATAGACAGAGAATACGATTTAAAAAGAATCAGTTTGCAGAATAAGACGTATAAGATAATTTTAAGACTTAAGAGCTATAAGAAAAGATTGAATGTACCTGCATCATTGGACCAACTCTGAGTGATTTCACTCACAGAATAATCATGAATCTACAGTTCAAAAACCAACATGTCAGTAATAATCAATAAATAAATAGCTAATATCTAAGGAATGCTTATAGTTACGTAGGTACTTATTAATAAACGGTGCTCTTGTTTAAAACAATCACTCAATAAAAACATTCTCATACGTCACACCGAAAGTATAGTTTGATATGAAACAAATATCGACCTTTTAATCGCTAAGATAGTTACCTGGAAAATACTTTTACGATCTATAAGCGGTTCACCATGATAAATCTCTGGTACTTTTGAGTTTAAAGCAAATGGCAAAATCTGTGGAGATATGTCAAGATGAGATTTTACTGAAGGCACCGATACAACCGCACTTGATTGTTCGTGATTGTCCGGCACAGACTGTGATGATGATGCTTCAACTTTATGAACGGTTAGATTTTCAGCACTCGAAGACAAATAATTACACATGAATGACCTAACAGTCTCGACCAACAAATAAACAACTGGGGAGCCAAGTGAAGACGAGACTACAAGCTGCAATTGTTTATTGAGTTCATTAAGAATATTACACTTGAGCCAAGGTGCATGCAATCTGAAAACATAGATGATAACATCACAGTACAAACTCATATTTTACTGGGTTGATCGAAGGATAGCCAGGGACCTGCTGGAATTTCAGGACAATTTGTTCCTTGTTAGTAGTATCACCCATTTTTGAGTCGATCCTTATTTCGTAGACTCTATGACTCCATATAATTAACAATAAATTTACTTGTTCTCAGGCTCCAAGATAAAAAATTCCTCTTCATATATAGCAGAGAGAACTTCTATTTCTTCTGCTGCTTCTGTAAAATCATACGGCTGATCACTTGAGATGTTCATTCGTTTTACTCCTACTTCTAAATTTATAGTATATACACATGAGTAGTGACGAACCGTTTAAACGAAAAATAGACTAACACACTTACTTTTCAAGCTCAACAACAAAATCATTATTTTTATGAAAAAAATCTAATCAGAAAATAACACTGGATGGCTTTTTTTGCTGGTAATAACAGACCGGAATTTAAATAAGTTAATATTAAAAAATGGAATGACTGCCCAACTGACTGAATTGCCAGATTAATTTATTGATCATATACACAATACCTGGCCAACTTATCATCAAATACACAACATTGTTTTACACTGATAACGTCAAAATATAGCAAGTGGCTGAGGATGCTCTCGTAAGTGGACTCCAGTTCGAAATCAACAACCTGTTAAACTGATCTCTGATATGGAAAAACCCTAAAAATAGAGCTGTGTCACACTGAGTATTGGATATGCAAATAGAATATTAAAAATTTCCGTTGTGAAAATTAGAACAACACATGTAAGCGAACAATTGTTTTGAATTAGATTTCCATCAAGTCTTGCTCTAATATATATGAATATTTGTACGAAAATTTTCAACCAATCAAGACAATTTGGGTCAGTAACCACAATCAAATAGAATACGCAACCACACATAATAGGTAAAAGTACAAGTTGATAGTAGGAAGACAGGTGTACTGATAGTAGATAAGAATAATAAAATACGATAACAAAAGTCTTATTAATAGTTAAACATTGAAAATAGTAGGTCAAACATGGGTAAATGGAATAGTCATAACAAAACATTGAAATCATTGCGTATTAAGAAGTGTGCAAATAATTAGATAGTGAATACAAACGGAAAGAGACGGATAATTACAAACAAATAATGGATGTGTAAATAAGGTTAATAATGAAATAATAATAATAATAATAATAATAAAGAAAATAAAAACAAATAAATAAAAATTAATCGTTAGTTAAGTTATAACTGGCCATGGAAGGGATAGGGGAGTTACAAATTTCTTCTGTACACATAAATTGGGGTTATATGTACGAATTCCTATAGCTTCAGCTATATGTAGGAGGCGGGAACGAACTCCATTGGGAAATGATGTAGGTATACGATAGATCACTCGAAATGATTTCCATTTATCTACAGCATGACCACTATCAATAACATGTGCCAGGATTGAACTGCGTACTGTTTTTATCTGGCCCTTTACACCTGTCTTCCTACTATCAACTTGTACTTTTATCTCTTATGTGTGGTGACTTATTCTATTTCATTGTGATTACTGACCCAAATTGTCTTGATTGGTTTAACATTTTCGTACAAATATTACTGTATATTAGAGTAAAGCCTGATGACGATCTAATTGAAAACAATTGTTCGCTTATATATGCAAATAGCACAAACTACAAAATTAAATCTCCGTCCCACTAGTATTAACTTACAAAGACCTAAAGATCATAGCAAGTTATCTTCCAAAGACTTTGGCTCACTAATGTTCGGTTGGAGTTACTTATTAAAACAGAGACATTAACTTTCAGAAAGTGAGGTAAAATCATGTTTAAAACTGTCCACATGGCTTTAACGATATCCAAACCAAAAAATATACGCAGGTCATAGGCCCTTGTTTGGAAGACGATTAATATCTTGCAATGAGTGCAAAGGATCATTACGTAGCGAGTATTTGCTTAACCCCTGAGCTACACGCTTAACCTTAAAATGGGCTTGAGGATTTTTTACATAATCCTACAGTGGAAAAGACCAAATTATTACTCAACAGACACTAGGTGATTTCGAACTTGGCATACAACTTAATCTCATATAAGGAATAATCCAAGTACACACCCTTGGTTCGAAACTTGTCGAGTTTAGAAAGTTCAACGGTTCTAAAATCGTAATACATGCAGCAGAGGAAATCATCCATACGGCTACAGAATAGTTGGCCTCTGGAGCAATGATAAAGTCTCAAAAACTCTTTCAGCCTCGAGCACATAGTTTCAATATTGTTTATGTACACTTCGATTGTTGAGTGCACAAAATGCTACTTGTGGATAACGACACGATGCACGTAACCAAGTCTATCTAGGAGCCTGTACACTCTCCAATAATCCGTATATACTGTAGTACCTGGTTGCAACCAGTGTTACTGGTGCTTTTATTATTCAGCTCGCAATAATTGTTATAATTTGCCTTAGTTAAGAATCATACATAAGGTTTTCATCACGAACTGACACCAGCTATAATGCCAAAAGTTTATTTAGCCAAATGGATGAAAGGCTAGATGAATACAGAAGGATATTGAAAAAGAACTCCGGAATGCAACACCTGCAGTACAGACGCAAAACTCAACTGAAAGCAATGTGGTTGTTGAAAGATCGACACAGGTGTTTCTAGGGGAGCACCCCGCCGACGATAAATTGTGCTGAAGGTTGTACTCACTGTGACTTTATGCCGTCAAAAAGTGACAAATTGAGGTCCTCGACGTTCTAACCCCAAAGTAGGTGACAAATGTGAACCATTCGCGCCCTTCTTTGCCAACATTACATCTTAAGGGACGTCGCATTCATTTTAGTCATGTTTGCCTTTATTTCCCCTTTTTGGTAGGATATTATTTACGAAGTAGTGTACGGTTAGCAGTTTTTGAGACAGTGACCGACGTTCTCGTGGTATAACTTCGGCTACAATCGTATAAAAATGTACAGACATGTCAATAACACATAAGACGTCTTGTTACAAGTAGATTTGCTTACGGCCTCATGTAAGCTTACGTCTTGCCTGAAGTTGCTTCGTGTGCTGGGACGTGTAAGGAGCAGAGTATGATAAACGAACGAGGATGAAAGTGAGCCAAAGACTCAATAAGTACATAGAACTCGCTTGCACTCATTGAAGAAAGCCAAAGACGACAATCACGCATACCAAGCATGGGTAATGTTGATTTACGGATGACCTCAAAACAGCGCCAAAACGACCTTCACACTATCCACTTAACTATTGGTATTAAATGAGGTTAAAAATTAGTGTCAGGGATAAGAATCACGGCTAACAGTTGAACGTTAAAGTTATGAACTAGATTTTGGCTTCTCATCACAAACTGACATCAATCATAATGCCAAAATCTGATTTAGCCAAGTACATGGATGAAATTCGCGCTTAACCTTGAATCGGATTCAACCATCCATAAATTATTATGATTTATGGCAATCAAATATATATGAAACCATAAATTATTAGCATAAGGTTTCAAATGCACTGGTGAAAACCTATGTTAAGCATTCAGAAGCCACGATGATTTATTGTCCAACGTCATTATGTGAAGCAAAAGAGTTCATTGTGATAGCTTTTGCAAGAGCACCATGTCCTTAATATTTTGTATTGCAGGTAACTTCATAACCAAGCTTCACTTGAATTTTACGAGAAGCGATGAACTTGCTCGTCACTCAATGACTCAAATGTTGGTTAATTTGGCTAGAGCTCAACAAGATTTTGCTGACCCTACAGTTCTTAGGTGATAGGTAATAAGACCTACCTATATCAAATCATTGGGTAGACGACTTGTGGTGTTTGAATGAACTAATGATTCCTTTGTACTTGTTGAATGCCTTGTAGCGGTAAATAAATCCCCAAAATAAATAGCTCTGTAAGTTTTCGACATTGAATGCTGACCACAGTTTTAGTGGACTCATCTAGCTGAAGGCGCTCGGTCAAGCATCCGCACCAGACCACGTGTGGGAACGCTGTGCTCAACATCTGCCGCAATCGCTAGCCAGATTACTTCAAACGATCCTCGATATATTGATGGCTTACCAAATATATCTTCTATGTCCTCGCTTCTGTCTTTTGATTTCACTTGGTGGGTACGCTTCATATTAGGTGTTACTGGTTAAAGCGTTGTCAAACTCTGAATACCTGTGGCATCTTCATTGGTGAGCCCGACGTGGTCTGGTACACCAAATTGCAAACTGTGAGTCTGTTCCTTTTTTGATTTTATATACCATTGTCTTATTTCAATTTTTTTACACATTGTGATATTTTTTCCCGTGTTTTCGGGTATATATATTTCCCACTCGTTCATTTTCGTACTTGAGATATTACTATGACGGAACAGACACCTAAAGTATATAAGTTAAAAACTGTGTCCCCATCTTCCTTCCAACTAATGCCTTTCTGGCCAGACAACATCGAAGCCTGGTTTTGTTATGCAGAAGCCGACTTCTGTGAGCACGGTGTGGACGACACACGCGCACAATTCCTCGCAGTAGTCAAGGCACTACCGCGCGAATTCGACAGGTACGTAACACCTAGTATGTTTACTAGTGATGTTTCTGATCCATACCAAACCCTGAAACAGGCCATCCTTAAACGCGGAGATCTAACCGATCGGCAAAGTTTAGACCAACTCTTTAACAACATCGACCTGCAACACAGTTCTGTCACAGATATGTTGCAAAGAATGAGAGAAGTTATTGGCCAAAGAACCTTCGATGACGGCCTGTTTAAACAGCTTTTCTTATCAAAATTTCATCAACAGGTGCAAACTGTGCTGGTCTTGTTTCAAAATAAGGCCGTAGACGAGTTGGCTGCATCTGCCGACCGCATTCTCGAAATGATTAGATCTTCTAACGCCGAGGTTTTTTCAGTCAAAGAAAAGCCTCAAACGACCCAGAATGACATCACAGAGTTATGTCATACACTTGCGCGTTATCTCAAACTTCGTTACGACCGTAAATGGTCACACACCTCGCGAAGAAGCACATCACGTAGCCGGTCGTTATCTAGACCTCGAGAGACAGATAATACTGACCGGTGCTGGTATCATAACCAGTATGGATAGTCCGCCAGAAATTGCAGAAATACATGCAATTTTCCCAACGCGAAAAATGTTTCGGGAAACTTCCAAGCCGGCACGCGCTAACGGCGACCGTAGCCGGCGAACATAGCCGTCTGTTATATGTCACTGATGTGGTGACAATAGTTCGATACCTCGTCGATACCGGCGCAGAAGTTAGCCTTCTCCCAGCGAATTATAGAGACTGGCTTCACGAATCGGTTTTAAATCTACAGGCGGCAAACGGAAGACCTATCGCTATGTATGGCAAATGATAGGTTTATCTTAACGTGGGGTTACTCAAACCCATTCAC